GATCACAGTGCTCTGATTTTGGCAAGTAGAGTGTATGTGTATATATAGAGGCTCTCAAGTGTGTGAGTCACACCATTTGTAACATGAAAAGTTAGTGATGAGATAAAGGCAACTCAATCAAATGTGGGATATGAGAGCACAGATACAGGTTGGGTGCAGAAGGGATTGAGAACAGCCCTGAGGAGAAGGACTTCAGTGTGCTGGTTGATGAGAAGCTCAGCATGAGCCAGCCAACTGTGTCCTGGGCTACATCAGAAGCAGCAGGGCCAGGGAGGGGATTCTCCCTCTCTAGTCCACTCTGGTGAGACCCCACCTGGAGTGCTGTGACCAGTCCTTAGAGCCCTCGGCACAGCAAGGACAAGGAGCTGTTGGAGAGAGTCCAGAGTTGGCCACAAAGATGCTGGGAGGGCTGGGGTTGTTCAGCCTGGAGAAGAAAAGGCTCTGGGGAGAACTTGTAGCAGCCTTTCAGTATTTGAAGGGGCTACAGGAAAGCTGGGGAAGGACTTTTGACAATAGTATGGAGTGATAGGACAAGAGGCAATGGTTTTAAACTGGAAGAGGGGAGATACTAGGAAGAAATTCTTTGCTGTGAGACACTGGAACAGGTTGCCCATGGAAGCTGTCAATGCCCCATCCCTGGAAGTGTTCAAGGCCTGGTCTAGTGGAAGGTGTTCCTGCCCATGGCAGAGGGTTGGGACTGCATGATCTTTAAGGTCACTTCCAGTTGGGGAGTCTATATTTCTAAAAGTAATGTTAAACAAATGCACTTAAAGGGCATCAAAACAGAGTTTTAAAAAGTGATGTTCAGGACTGTGACCTGAAATGAGCTGTTCATGATATAATTGACTGAGTTGTCCTCATCATGCTCAGTGTGTCCAAGCAGAGACCAGCTACAGCCACACCACTCTGTCCCCAGAATACTGCAGCCAAAGGACACTTGGGTGCTTACTCTGCAGTAGGTCTAAGAAGAATGTGACAGATCAGACTCATCTTTCTTATGGATCCCTTTGTCAGAGCATAGAGGTTGTTATGCAAAGGTACCTGCTTGGTTAACTTTGGGGATGCCTCAGTTCTTCAGCCCTTCAACTTCAAAACTGGACTGTTGGGGGGGAGGGGGGTTTGGGAGGGGCTGGGAACCCCCAAAGCTGGCCTATGGGGGCCTTCTGGGAGCCCCCCCAAGCTGGGGGGTTGGGAGCCATCTCTATTTCAGCTCAGTTCTAGGAACATCTCACATCCAGCATAGTTAAAATTTCCCTTGCACAGTGGTGGGGCTCCTGTTAGCAAACTGACAAAGGGTTTACTAACCAGCTACCTCTCTAGCAGCTGTAGAAGCCTGAGGGGTAGCTAATAAAACTGGTTGTCCTGGAGGATTAGACACTGATTAACAGATCACAGACAATCTTGAAGCCGAGGCCAGACTCTGAGGACATCCCCAAGGATAGTTTGAATATATAAAGCTACCCCATACTATTAACCCAGAACAGCTTTACTGGAAGTTATCCCAAGATTTCAGCTGCTGGAAGACATTGGGATACTAATGTCTAGGAGTTGGTCTACAATTTAGCTAAAAAGACAAGCTGGTTTTTATCTTAGCTCTCTCTAAACCTCCTAACTGGGCTGCTCATAGCTAGATTACAAAGAACTGTTTATTTGTTCTTTAAACACTGATTTTGGATGCAAAATAATTTCAGAATGACCAGCCAGCACCAAGGAGTCCCCTTCTTATGGGCACCCTCATGGTCAAACCAAAGGAGCTGGACTGTTTTCATGGTGCTCAGCACCCAAACTGGAACATGATTGTTTTTGAAGATGTGTTTTTTTTCAGGAGGTGGCCCAGGCCCATATGAACTGCAGTGACTCACGGGTAGCACGGGAGAATATTTTTCAGGGCTCAGCATTAGTCAGAGACTTCCTGAGAGGCTGCAGGGTTGGCAGAGGACCCTCCTGGGCTTCCTGTGAACTGGAGCCAAGCAGCAAAACCAACGGCAGCACTATAGAGGGGCAGTTCCACCGTGATGTTTGGAGTGACACCATCCAGGAACACCACAACAGCTTCAGAGCAGAGTTCATAATTTTAGGATGGCAAACCTATATATGAGATGTCAGAGGAGACTGCTGGCAGCTCAGAGTGGACAAATGGAGCTGGAGACATTACCAATGCCTTGAAATCTTCATGGGTACCATGAAGACAGCTGCCTCAGATGCCCCTTGCTCAGCACTGCTGCTCCAGCCAGAGACAAGCCACACACAGTCAGCCCATCCTTCACCTTCGGGAAGAAATCAATAGGCATGTCAAAGAGAGGAGCTGAAAACAATTCACTCCCAACAGCCCAAGGGTCAAACCCAAGGGCTGCAGCACAGGAGAGTAAGGGGCTGCTGCCTCCTGGCAGCCAGCAGGTGGAGAGCACTGGCCACCCATGGGTTCTGTCCTGTCCACCCACAGGTCTTGTCTCCAGTCCCCACTACATGCAGCTGCTGAGTTTAACACAGGTATAAACTGCAACAAGGAAGTCCACCCTCTGTGGGAGATGTGCCAGCACCCTGATGGAAGCAGGGATCAGGCCCTGCTCTTGAGCAAAGTTAAAGCTCAAATCTTCCTCTTCCTCCTTTTCATTCATGTGCTATGCTAAACCTTGTCAAGGCCATACTCACATGCTTGGGCTTTTGATTATGGCCATCAGAAAAGATTTCTTATTAAAATCTAAGCCATACTGTTAGCTTGGCATCATGTTAAGAGCACACTTGTTACTGCTCTGCAAGGAAGAGAGCTGTAGACAGCAGGTAGAGACGAAATGCACCAAAGCTCTTCCTCTGCAGAGCACCCATGGCAGTGGTTACTACAGGAGGAGCTCCAGGACCTTTACCACCTCTTAGGGCTTTTATTTAAACCTGCATTGCAAGCAGTAAAAGGGCTACACCCCAAAATGAAGCAGCCTTTTGCTGAAGAGATTATCTAAAAGCTAGGTGAGCTTGCTGGGGGTGAGGGGGAAGCAACCCCCATCCAGGGCTTGCCACAATTGCCACTTCTCTGATCTTTCAAGGTCCCTTCCAACCCCTAGGATTCTATGATTCTATGATTCTCACTTTCATCCTGATACTAATCCTTACATTTAAACTGAATACTGAAACATTATTTTCACAATTACTTATCTTGAGAGAGGGGCTTCCTGCAGCCATAGCTGGGGCCACAAAGGAGGGCCTGCAGGAGGAGTGAGAGGGTGGGGAAACTGAGGAAGACTGCCCAGGCTGAAGGAGATCTAGATCCCAGGGATTCTGTGGAAAAGGCAGCATTTTAAACTGTTAGGGAATAAACATCTCAGATAAGGACACAGTGTTTTGTTGCCATCATTGCTGGAAAAGTTGCTCATCCCTGGAGAAGCACATCAGGGATGTGGCACCCTTGTCACTGCACCCGGCATGCTGGTGGCAGCATGTAGGGCTGGTGGGTGAGAAAGGTGCATTGGCAATGCAACCAAAACAGAAAACAAAAGGCTTGGTTGGACCTCACCTCTCTCATCCCTTAGAAAGAGAAACAGGCTTGGTCCCTCCTACAAGCTGAAAAACCCAAGACAAGCAATAATTTGGTGGCAGCCTTTACCCCTTATCTAGCCCCTGCTTTCAGATGGGAGATCAGTCCCATGTCTGAGCTGGGGATGGAACAGGAGGCAGCCCAGAGAAGCACAAAGTTAACACACACACACATATATATATACACACACACACACATATATATATATGGCCTTGGAGCTTCAGAACTCTGAATTGACAAAGTGCTGGAATGGTTCTTTACTTCAGGGCTCTTGAGCTTCAGCAGTATCTCTAAGACCACTTGCACTCTCATCACCCTCACTGACAGGCAAGAGAATCTGAGATGGAAAGGAAGGAGGGAACAAAAGCATCAAAATAAGATTTATTATTTAGAACTGAGATTTGAAAGAGACAGACATGGCAGATAACAGTGAAACAAAATGCCAGGCTCCAGCTGCAAGAAAGGATGGTACTGAAAGGCTTAGGGGCAAATAGAAATTGCTATTTCTCTGGTATCAAAAACAAGAGAGTGAAAAGGTCAGAACGTTGTGGTCTGAACTGTCTGAGGGGGACGTGACTGAGGCCCTTGGGTGCAGAGCACAGCAGAGGAGGTGGAAGAGTTTGGGGCCCAAGGGGAACCACACGGGCAGCATCCTCCCCCTCCCCAGGGACAGGGCCAGAACCATCCTTCTAAAAACCAGTTGAGTAGTCCTTTATAATAAATGATTGCTGATGAGATTATTGCTGCAAACTACTTTGTACGTCACCTCAACCCAGGAGACAGCTGAAACCCATCATCAGTGAGTCAAGGAAAAGAAAACTCCAACTACATAATTTTAGCTCGTTGAAGGCACTTTAAAGTCTTTTAAAAATTGCTCCAATTACCGACTTGTCTGTAGAAGGACTTTTGTCTTAAAATTAGAAGTGAATCAAGAACTGTATTTAACTCTGGCAAGAAAACATGGCCGGTCTATAAGAAAAAGAAAGAGGTAAAAAGGGAAGTGACAAGTACAAACTTACTCTCTGGTGAAGGCTCTGTAGGTTTCTTTAGTTGACTTAAGCAGATTTAAAATAGTGTATTATCTCTACAAAATAACTGTGAGAAATTCAAATGAAATCAGAACTTATCTTCCTTGTACAAGAATCTTAACATACATGCCTGGCTTATCTTTTGGGAAATTACTTAAAATACAATTAACTGTGTGAAACAAAAAGTATTTGAAGGAGTGTCTCCTCCTCCTCTCTCTTTTCCAGCCACTGCTCAGGGGAACCTGGCTCACAACAGAAGGGAACAATTTGGAACAAAATCCTTTTCCCCCAAAATAATTCTCCTTTATTTTTTTTATTATTTTTTTTTTTTGCATAACATTTTTGTATTTCCAACTATAAATAAAAAAAAAAAATATTAGAAAGAAGTTACAAAATTGCGTTGAACAGACCAGAACGGCACAGAATTCCTCACACATGATAAATCACTTCCCATCTTCCTCCTCCTCCTCCTTGGCTGTGGGAGGGCCTCGCGCTTGGCACGGCAGCTGAGGGGGCCACGTGTCAGTTGCTGATGGTCTCATTTTCAGAATCTAAAACAAAACAAAACAAAAAAATCCAGACATGGATTTCACATAGAGAAAAAGCCAAATCACACCCAAAAGGGCCACATGGACCCAGGGACCTGCAGCGAGCGGAAGATACTCCTGCCAGAGCGCACGAGCCCCTGAGCGTGGGGGCTGCGGGGACACAGGAAGGGAAACCCTCCATGAACACCTGGTGGTAACACCACAGGAACTCTGCTGACCCGCCTCGCACCAAGAGCCTGGATGCAGAAACGTGGCTGGGCTGGGGGCAGCGTCACCAGGAGCCTGGACCCCGGCGGGAGCAGGGAATGGCAGCAGAGGCTCCCGGGCCCCGGCAGGGGGGGGAGGGGAAGGGGGGGGGGC